AGCAGGTTCAGAGGTTTGGTTCAGAACCAATTCTCCTCCATCTGGTCCGGTTCAGACCTGATTCGCACCGGTTTAGTATTACAACACCTATTTCCTGTCTAGTTCAGACTTTTAGCAGGTTTTCTTGGACTGGTTCAGGTCGGTTCAGTAACTTTTAGACCGGTTCAGGCCCGGTTCAGTCCGTTTTTGTCTCCGATTCAGTGATCCTGTGGACTTCTTTGGTCCAGTTCAGTGGACTCTTTTGGTTCGATTCAGCAGTATAGTCGGTGATTCTTGTCCTATTCAGTGATCTAATGCTTTTCGTTTTATTATTTGTTGCACTATTATGGAACCCAAACAAGACACTGGATTGGTTACTATTACTCAAGAGGAGTATGACCAGTTCCTATCCCAGCAACAGGTTGTTCCCTCTCCCTCCACTGCTACTTTTTCCCAGTCAGGTATTGCTTTTATTTGTTTATTGTCCTCCAATCGCAGTCCCTAGATTATAGACTCTGCCGCTTCTGATCACATGATTGGTGTGTCTGATGTTTTTTTAACTCTTAGTCTGTTACCTCCACACGTAGTGTTACTTTTGCTAATGACACTTGTTCTAAAGTTTCAGGTTTGGGGACTACAAACTTGAGTCCTGATATGTTCCTATCTTCCGTATTATTTGTTTCTCAGTTTCCTTTTAGTTTACTTTTCATTAACAAGATTACCAGTTTTCTCAATTGTTCTGTAACTTTTTATTCTTCTTATTGTGTGTTTCGGAATCTTAAGACGAAGAGGAAGATTGGTACGGGCATGAAGCTGGTAGCCTATATTACTTTGATTTTGATTCACCTATTTAGGCTCTACAGACCTCGTTGTCTCCTTTTTAGTGACATTGTTGTCTTGGACATCCCTCTCTCCAAAATCTGAAGCGTCATGTTTCCAGTCTTAGTTCTGTGCCGTCTTTGTCTTGTGAAGCTTGTCAACTTAGTAAGCATCACTGTGTGTCATTTCAGTCTTGAGTCAATAATCATGTGTCTAGTCTATTTGAGTTGGTACATTCTGATGTATGTGGTCCAATAAAGAATAATTCATCTAATAAATATCCTTATTTTGTGTCATTTGTGTATGACTATTCTCGTATAACTTGGTTATTTTTGATGAAAGCTCGATCTGAATTATTCTCTATATTTGAGACATTTTGTAAGGAAATAAAAACTAAGTATGGGTGTCGTATCCGTATTTTATGTTCTGATAATGCTCGAGAATATGAATTTAATCCTTTTTCATCTTATCTTAGTAAAACTAGCATTATTCATCAGACTTCTTATGCTTATACCTCTCCACAAAATGGTGTTGCTGAACGCAAGAACTGTCATTTGTTGGAAGTCACCTGTATTCTGTTATTCCAGATGAATATTCTCCGATATTTTTGGAGTGATGTTGTTCTTATTACTTGTCATCTTATTAATCATATGTCATCCTCTGTGTTAAATGGACAAAGTCTATATTCTGTTCTTTTTTCTAGTAAGCCCTTGTTTTTCCTGACTTCTAAGATTTTTGGATGTGTCTGTTATGTTCACAATTTGGGTCCTGGATTTGACAAATTTGACCCTCGAGCTACCAAATGTGTATTTTATGTTACTCCCGCACGCAAAAGGGGTATCGTTGTTACAGTCCTTCTCAACACCGATACTTTACTAGTGCCGATGTCACGTTTGAAGAATCTGTTCTATACTTTCCAGCACCTTCTCAGCCTTTGGATCTGGACTTTGGATCATCTCCTGTACCACCATCTCTTTTCTCATCTTCAGACATTCTGCTGCTTACTGTGTTACCATTTATTTTACCTCTCCGTGTCTACTCTCGCCGCCTTCGCTCATCGACTGAGGTGTCCGTACCGTCTTCCTTGCCGCCTTCTGATCCTGATACATCAGGTCATTTAGATTCTTTACCTATTGCTCTTCGTAAAGGTACTCGTTCGTGTGTTACTAATCATCTCATATCTCATTTTGTTTCATATGATGCCTTGTATCCTGTCTTCTCCTGTTTTACTTCCCAATTATGTGCGATTTCTATTCCTAAGTATTTACAGGATGCCTTATCTGATCTAGGTTGGAGGAAAGCTATGGAGGAGGAGATGGATGCTTTACATCATAATGGAACTTGGGATCTCGTTTCTTTACCCCCTGGTAAACGAACTGCTGGTTGTCGTTGGGTGTATACTGTTAAATTTCATTTAGATGGTTCTGTGGAGCGTCTCAAAGCCCAACTTGTTGCAAAGGACTTTACTCAGACTTATGGTGTTGATTATGAGGAGACTTTTTCTCTTGTTGCCAAAATTTCCTCTGTTCGTATCTTGATCTCTTTGGCTGCTAATTTTGATTGACCCTTGTTTCAGTTAGACATCAAGAATGACTTCCTACATAGTGACTTGGTTGAAGAGGTATATATAAAGCAGTCACCTGGGTTTACTGCTTAGGGGGAGTATGGTAAGAGTGTATGTCGGTTAAAGAAATCTTTGTATGGTTTGAAACAGTCACCTAGGACATGGTTTGGTAAGTTTTCAGATGCAGTTTTAGAGTTTGGTCTTCTTCAATGTCAGACAGATCATTCTGTGTTTCATAGACAGACAGATGCTAGATATGTCCTATTGGTGGTCTAAGTAGATGATATTGTGATTACTGGAAATGATTCTGAAGGGAGTGCCAAGTTAAAAATATTCTTACAGGATCGATTTCATACTAAGGATTTGAAAAAACTCAGGTATTTCTTGGGTATTGAGGTGACTTGATCTAAACAGGATATTTGTTTATCCTAGAGAAAATATGTACTTAACATGCTAGAGGAAACAAGTTTGCTGGGTGGTAGACCGATTGATGTTCCTATGGATCCAAATCATAAATTATTGATGGATGATAGTGCATTGTTTAAGAATCCGTGTCGGTATCGCAGATTGGTTGAAAAACTTAATTATCATACTATTATTCGACCGGATATTTCCTATGCAATCAGTATAATAAGTCAGTTCATGGGGTGTCCTAGAGTACCACATTGGGAGACAGTTACTCATATTCTATGATATCTCAAACGAGCTCCTAGACTTGGACTGTTATATCGAGCTAATGGACATCTTAGAGTGGAAGGTTTTTCAGATGCTGATCGGGCTGACTCTCCTTCTAATCGGAGATCAACCACCGGTTATTGTACTTTCTTAGGAGGTAATGTTGTCTCATGGAAAAGTAAGAAATAACCCGTGGTAGCAAGATCCAGTGTTCCCGTGGTAGCAAGATCCAGTGTTGAGGCTGAGTATAGGGCAATGACACATACGACGAGTGAGTTGACTTGACTACTTCACTTCCTCCAAGAAATTGAGTTTCCAGTTCAACTTCCTTTACAGTTGTTCTGTGACAACCAGACAGCTATCTATATCGCTGTCAATCCTGTGTTTCGCGAAAGAACCAAGCATATCGAGGTTGATTGTCACTTTATTCGGGATAAGATAATAGCCGGGGAGATTACGACTCCATTTGTGAAATTTGAAGATCAGTTTGTAGATATGTTTACTAAAGTATTGAGTCGTACACGTCTTACATGTATTTGTTTTAAGCTTGAATTATATGATATATATAGTTCAGCTTGAGGGGGAGTGTTAAAAGTATTAGGGTAATATGTGTAAATTGTTAATAGTGTTAGGGTATTATGTGTAATTCTTATTATTGTGAGTTAACTATAAATACAAGTGATGTATGAGAGATAGGTTAAGTTTTTAACCTCTCTCTGTTTCTCTTTAATATTGTGTTAATCCTCTAAACTTAACAACATGAACTCTAATTAATCTAGAATAAAACTAAATATTCCTAAATAAAATCTGGTTCTAACAAAATAAAAAAAATAAAGTAAAATAAGAAAATAATAAATCTATCACACTATATATTGTGACGTTAGAATAGTGGAGTTTATACAAGTAGAATAACTGTTGTGGACTTAATAATTTGTTAAGTTGTTCATAAACAATCTATGGTTTGGATGATTAGTCTAAATTGGCATGCATGTAACTGATATATGATTAGTTGTGGCTTTATCAGGTTATATCATAATCAGCTTGGTATGGGTTCTATATATACATGTATAGATACCAGAGTGAACCTTTTGCACGCTTTTTTTAGTGTGGTTAAAACTTGAGTGAGTGCTTAAAATCTTCATTGTGATATTTTTTTGATAATCAAGATGGAAAATTTTTGTTGTGATTGAACTATAAGTGGTGGTTAAAATATTTACCTTAGTTAAAAGGTTAAATATAAATAACAAGAGTTACTCTGGCTAAAAGGTTAAGATGTAAGTAATAAGACAAGCTGTTAGATCAAAATGATTTCACTCGTTGTTCTTCTTTTCTAAGTCAAGGGCTTGAGGATCTTAAGTAGGACGTTCTTTTTTATTAATATAGATGTACTTGCTTTGTGGCAAAGTTGTAGAGGCCTTGATTTGTTATTTCTCTCTAGTGGGGTGTGAACTCGCTAGATTGGAGCAAGAGGAAGCTGCCTTAGCGCCTGTTGTTTGAATATTTGAGTGATGCTCATTACTTGTATTTGCATGTGTATATATTGGAATGATGATTATCCACATTTTGGGAAAATTCGCAGTTAGTTTTGGTGTTGGAAAATCACTTTTGTATGGGTCTTATGAACATTGTGTTGATTAGGTTGTTTATGAGAAATGCTTTGAAAACAATGTTGTAGATAAGCTCTGCTAAACTTTGTAAAAATATGGTAAACTTGCAATGTAAATAATTAGTTGACCTTTCGCAGATCCATACAGGCTCTTTTATGTGATATTTATGAACATTTAAATGAAATGTTTCAATAATTCCATGATTTGGGATGAAATTCCACTTTTTTTAACCTAACTTATTTTACTAGCCTAGCCTAAAACCAGAGCATCACATAACATATACTCTGATTGTTATTCTTCTGCGTTAATTACTTCGGTAGGTGTTCTAGAGTAAAAAAAACTTACTTGCCTCTGTCATGCTGATGTGCCTGCAGCGTAATTACCGGCTCTTCATCTTCTTTATATCATCAACAACCACCTTGTGCATATACGTCTTCACATTTTCATTGTTGGATATCCTTCAACAGCAGGGCAGCGTATGGAATATCATGTCAAGGAATGTTGTATCAGTCATTCTAGTAGTATACAGCTTCATAGCCGTCTGGTTCGTCGGCGGACTTAGTGCATTGCATGCTTATCTGATTTGCACCAACAAGGTTACCTTCTTATTGTCTCAAACTCAAAAGAATAATTCGATTGCTGAAGTTAAGTTTGATACTTCCAATATTTTTGTTTGATTTCGTATGTGACCATACATACTTAGTTGACATCGTATTGGATATAGAGGAAGAAAGAGAAGAAGAAAGGGGAGAGAGTCTCTCTTTTCAGTTTATCAGCTTTGAGAAACATCCAAAATAATTATAGTTCCATTGCCCCCTTCATGATTGCTAGCCCCACTTGCCAGTTCATGATTTAGAGTAGGATATCTGTATGACCAAGTCCAGTCTTCATAAGTAGTGTTTATAAACTGGCTTTGGTGTCCTATGATGTTGAACATGACTGCTTTATTGATAAGATTGAAGTTGTCCTTACATCTTCAGCATGTTGCATATTTTTGAACTTCTATGTATGCCAATCCATTCCAAAGATGTTACCAATTAACTTTCACAATTGTTTAAATTATGTACATAATTAACTAATATTTATTTTTTTATCTCTAATAAGAGTTACAAATCATGTCATAATACAAAACAATGTATGGGCTAGCAATTAGTGGTTGCATATTTGTATTATGAGAAATAGTTAGATCACAATTATCAAAATTTAATTTTATACATCATCAAAATAAAAAAATAACCATTCAGAGTTACAATTTTGGGTCAGGGTAATAATTTCGGATTTGGGATTATTTGGGTAATGGATTGATTTAGGATTTGAGTTACAATTTGAGATCACAGATTTTGGCATTGGGATCACAAACCCAATTCGGTATGTGGGACCCCAATTTTTGGGTCGCGGGGATAATCTACGATCCTGGTGACTACTGTCAATGCCCTCTTCAACACTGGTTTATGATGCAGTTTTTTCATTTTTTTTAAAGGTTTCTATGGTTGAAATTAGCAGGTTTTAGGGGTAACATCATTTCCAATGTTCAACTCCGTGCTAGTATATGTATTTCAGTTATTGTGACTGTTTTTTATAATTTATAGTTATATAAGTTTTGATGTGGTGGCTTTGCATGAGAATATTTCTTCTGCACATTGAATTGGTTTACAATCTTAGTTCATAGAATTTTGGTAATTGAGGTCATTGAGATTACAATACTTGTATGCACATAATTTACAAACACGGAAATGATGAAAATTTACTTTTGTATTTTATATGATATCTTGTAAGAAAGTTCTGCCTGTGCATATGTGAATCATATGGCTGTTTTATTCTTGGTTAAGAAAGTTTGACACTTTGTTCTACTCTATGTTCATTTTCAGACTACTTATGAGAGCTTTCGATATTGGTACGATAAGAGGGAAAATCCATATAATCAAGGGATAGTAAAGAACATTAAAGAATTCATTTTCTCTAAGACCCCACCTTCATTGGTCAATTTCCGAGAATGGGTGATCGATAAAGATGATACAACTACGGATTCCATTAATCAAAAATTTGGTGGAGACATTTTTAGCTCAAAATGGAAAGTTGACATAGAAATGGGAGGTATGCTTACCAAAGATGCTAGTATGCCTCTTCCAAATATTTTGCAGAATTTGGATTATAAGGGAATTGATGACAACCTGAAGAAGGATGGAGGTGGAAATGTTGATCAATTTTTCTTTCCTACTGTTGAAGAAGTGAGTGGTGCACAAAGGACCTCAACTAATGGGTATAGTCCTACTGAAGAGGATAGGTCTGAGGATGGGAGCTCCCAACAAAATTCATCAGTAATTCAACAGGAATAAAGGTAATTTTTTTCTCCTTGCATTCAGAAATTGTTTTACAGTTGGTTAGCTAACTACATAATGTGATGTTATATAGCACAAATTATTTGATGATAATGCATATGAAGTTTGTTAATTTGGTTTATACAGTCTAAATAGGGTTAAAAAGAAAACTGTGAATTTTGGGTCAGTTTTCCCCATTCAACTAATGTGTTACTTTAAGAGGTCAATCAGGTACTCTAGTTGAATACTACATCTGAAATTCTCCTCCATCTTTTATATTTTTTTCTTGTCACACAAGAAAATGAAGCCAATAAAAAAAAAATGCATCCTAAACCAAAAGATGATTTCATCCGCCATATGTGAGTATTGGACAGGCGTCTTCACTCACTGCAAATGTAGGCAAACTTATTGCCCCAGACCTTATTGTATTGTGTTAGAAATTTTGTGTCTACAAAGTCATTGCATGAACAAATTAATGCATAGCTCGCTTTTTCCTCTTATGACAAGATTTTTGCTCTTTAGGCATGTTCATTTACTAGAAATCTGTGTGACACTATCGTTTCTTTTTGGGTCTACCTCATGATGGACACGGACTTCAAATAGAGAAACCGAGGTGCAGTAAACATCAAAATGGGGAAGTTATTGATGTTGCATCTTGTTGTTAACGTTAAAAGAAAAGAAAGAAACAGAAAAACATGTCATATTAGGAATCTGAGAATTAGTTGAAGCGCTTGGTTGCAAGACTGACACAAACGATGCAAAACACTTGATCAGTTATTGCTCAGCCTCGTGTGAGATGTTCTTATGACAGTAAATGTTGACGTGTATTTTTAATCGAGTCCAAATATTTGACATCAAGTGGAGGTGGTGAAGAAAAATTCAGGAGCCTAAAGTGTGTTAGATAGGAATGAACAATATGTTGATAAGAAATCCAAAGATTTGTCAGCAGGCAGAGAAGCAAACATAAATTGCTGCATCCATAAAGTTGCCAGTGAGCTTCTCGTTCATCACATAGGTTGGATACGTACATTAGGATACTGCCTACAAAACAACATGGATATCCTCCTTTTTATATGACATCTTTTTTATGCATATATTTATTTCTGACTCTAATTCTTAGATTCTTAAAAGGTTCATTAAACAGTTACATGTTGCTAGACCTTTTGAAGTGCATCGCATGGATCTTTTACACAGGTTTGATTGGGCGATGCCTACAGAAGAGTCTTTACATCCGATGGCGGTACATGATGACTTGTCGAGCATAGATGTTGATTTGCTGATGCTAACAGTAGAAACGAAAAATACCTTGTTTATTAATTCTTAAGCTCCGACTGTAGTTCCCGAATGACTATTGAGGAAGAAAGGGCAAATAATTATGAGAACAAAGATGAGAAAATTGTAAGAAAAGGAAAGTAAAAATATAAGGCGGACAAATTGTAAATGGTACTTATGGCCCAGTGACGCCTAATAATGGTGCCAATAGAAACAAAATAAAGGTGTCATCTTGTAAAATAAATTAGGGTGATGTTTCGTTTTTTGGGTCTCCTTTCTATTTTCTTCGTTTTTATATTTTGTTGTCTATTTTCTTTTTTGGGTTGATGGGCAATGGTGGGGGGAGGACTTGACTTTGTAGGTTGTGTACAATTGGGGCTGCTGCTGCTTCTTCTTCTTCTTTCCTGTTTTTTTTTTTTGGTAATAAAGTCACTTGTATGATTTACGGACATGGTAAGCTATATATGTCAAAAGGTTACTCTGCCACACACACACACAAGAACTGATGTTTACCATTTGCAGCCCTGAACTGAGATTGTTTAGGCTTTTTGAGAAGTGTAAGAAATTGTTAGAATTTTATGAAAATATGCATGCCAGATTAATCTGACAAATTGATCATTAGGGCCACAGAAACCATCGGATATTCTTTATACAATGAAATAACAGAAATATCTTGTAGTTGCTTAAACGAATCCAAAATGTTATTGAAAGGTATTGGTATCCCCAATCATATTTGTCACACGGCATTACATAAGACAACAATGACAAATAAACAAATCTATATAAAAATAAAGTTATTTTTTGATATTGTAATTGACCCTCCACAATGAACTAATGATCTAACTTGGTTGTCTCAATCATGATTTTGAAAGATGGGTCTTTTCTTCAAAATTTCACATTTAGGGTTAACTAATTTGTTGGTCTAGTTACAATACCAAAAATTAATTTTTTTTGGAAATATTATAGTAAAAACACCTACAAATATGATAAATTTTTTTGAACCAAAGAAAAATGATAAAAATAATTATTATAAATGTGGTAAAAATACTAGTACCAGTAATAAAAATACTCATAAAAGTGATAAATTTTTTATTTATAAAATGACCTATAAAAGTTATAAAGACACTAATTAAATTAATAAAAATTAGAGGTATGATACCAGAATTTTTTCTAATTACCAAAGTGAAGTCCTTTCTAAACCACATAATAGCATGTTTCCTATCAAACTAATAGGGCCCGACATTTGAGTCAAACCTTAGCAAATGTCAACTTGCGATTTAATTCTATCACAGGCTAACACATAAGTCTCTGTTATATTATATAATAATAATGGAATCAGCTTTTATATTATGCCATACATCGTGCTTGCTGCATCAAGTAGTGGCATTGATCTTTATATTTCTTACTTTCTTTTTTAAGATGACAGCGGAAGGGGCACGAAATTTCGGCACATGTGTTAGTATGATGATTCATGTATATGATAAGGTCATGTGCGCATTCAGAATACGAACAGTTCAAAGTAATTCTAAGACCGAGTCAAGTTAATTTAGGTTGGGTTAGGATTAATAGAACTTCTTAGGTGTACTCGGATAACTAGTCCGAGCTTTTCTAGGAGTTTGCAACAGCTTAGACTAGGCTAAGCAAATGGTTACCTATTATTTAGAATAATAAAGGGTTAGGATAGGTAAGTTGCTAAAATGATAATAGACAACGTCAATAATCCCAAAGAATTAACTGATTTGAGAACATTGTAGAGATTTCAATAGAAATGACCCAAAATCTGGCGCAAGAGGGGGTGTACCACCTCACCTTGCAAACAAGAAAAACTCTAAAGGATAAATACCAAGACATCCTATAAAAAGGGACCAGAAAGGCTTAAGAAAATGTATGCACAAAAATCCCTGCAATTGCCTTTGTCTAAAATTCTTTATTGACTTAAACAACGGAGTGCCTTCGATTAGTTCACTCCGGTCTTTGACAGTTTGTTCATTTTGCAAGAAAAATTGAGTAATAATATACCATCAAGTCATCCACAACCAATTCATTTTTGCAAGAGGTAATTTTTTTTACCGCTTACAATTGGTGTTGTCTGTGGGAAACTACTAAACAAAAAGCAATGCCGAGGTTAAAAAACACTATTGGATCTCTGGTGAGCCATAATGTTGACCAAGAAACCAACAAAAATTACAAAGTGTCCCTCCCCTCAGATACTGATATCTGGGAGGATGCCTACAAAAGCCAAGACAAAAGTCTCGATAACAAGAACCTATCCTCAGCTAGCTATAAGCCTGAGGATGAAAACGATCAGTTTGACTTACAACATGATAGATCTCTTTGTGTCGAAGTGGAAACTCTCGCTCTCATTAAACTAATCTAGTTTCTCCAGGACTGATTGGATGTGCATGACGCCATGTTCAAAAAATCGTACAACAAAGAAAAAGCACTAAGGCAAGAAAATGAAACATTGAAGGAGGAGTTGAGGAGGTCCAAGAGGGAGATGTCCCAAAAAGAGAAAAAACCCATGCAAAAAATGAGTGAGGCCAAAAGCGTTAAGGTAGAACTCCCAAAAGGAATGGGCCAAGATAGAGAGAATATTCTTAGGAAGCCCTAGAAAGGTATAAGCCCAAAAATTAACTATTGCAGAAAGTTCAATCGCACAGAGAACCAATAAGATGTTTGGAAACACTTTATTATGGAGGAACTCAATAACAAATTGAAACGCCCCGAGAAGAAATTTGCAAGGGAGTTAGCAAGAAAAGCAACTAGGGAGTACGTCGAAGGGTGGAGATATTACTTTTTATAAGGTGGATTGAACGAGAATGAATTTCGAGTAAATTCACTGTCCCAAATTTCAAATTATATTATGGAAAAACAGATCCAACAGTCCAAATTTGACACTACAAACAATTAATAACGATCCATAGGAAGAATGAGGCTCTACCATGTACCATATTCCCTAGTAGCCTGGGGCGGGGATGAAACAATTAGGATTTTATGTGATCGTGAGAGTTCAAATAAATAAATAGACCTCAAAAATGAATTCCTTGCCTAAAGAGGAGTTGGACGACTATAATGTTGAATATGTTTTGTGTCTGAGAAAAAAATAAGCGATGCTAAATACTTGTAGTAACTGAGATGGTTTAATAAGTGTAATTTTTGGTGTGTCATATGACACTTGTCAAAAATGGAGTGCAGCACATGGAAAGTACGACATAACAAGGGAAGGATAAGGATGAATCTAGAGGTAAAACGTGGCAAGGACAATAAAGCAGTGGAAGGATCTGAAGATGACATGTGATAAGCACAACAAAAACAATGGAAAGACCTGGAGGTGACATGTGGCAATTGATAAGCACGATAAAGCAGTGAAAGGATTTGAAGATGACATGTGACAACATGACAAAGCGGTATGTGTGTGTGTGTTTAAGGTGTAAAAGAAGACTACAAATAGGGAGGTTGGCCTAAGTAAAGAGGGAAAAAGAGGAAGAAGAGAGAGAGAGAGAGATAGATAAACAAGTGGAAGAGGGAAGAAAGAGGAGATTGGACAAGAAAACCTTGAAGTGGAAAAATCAACGATAAGACAAACTCCGATCGGGATAAAATTTGAGTGTGCTTCTCTTGGTGTTATGATGATAACATTTATTGGAGTCAATTAATCGTTTGAGGTATGGGATATCATACAATATAATTCCGCCTTTTAATCTATTTACACAAAGTATTTTTTTGATTATCTAAAAGTTGTATTTCTATTCACTATTCTATATGTTTTTGTTAAGTTGCATTTGGCTAATAACTTTGTGATTAATTGGTAACTAGTGCACTTGGGGGCATATTTTGGGACATGTGGTTGTAGCCCTACGGGGGTATGATTGATCAGTCTGAGTTTAGATTTATGTTCAAGTATTATTTGTTATGTGACCAAGATAAACCAAGTATGAGGCTAGTGTGTTGCGTAGATAGACTATTGGATATCTCATATTTCATGATTCTGTACCTGTTGATTGAGTTGTTTGATATTTGATAATTTGTACTGCTATAGTTGAACTATTATTTTATTTCGTATTGTATACTTTTCTGCTTAATTAATTTTTCAAGAAGATTCTAGGGTAGAGTTTGTCGTTGGAATATTTGAGAAATTGTAGATGATATAAATTTTGTACTATGTAAATTGGGAGATGTACTTGTAATTGGATTTAGATCATTTCTATTGTACATTCTCTTCAATTTCCCTTAATACAGTATTAGATGAGTGACATGCGTAAAATTTTAAATTTCAATAGATAAGATGCTTTTTCATTCATTTTTGTTGTTGGTGGAGTGTTATCCATTATTAAGGAATTTTCTCAAAAGAAAAAATTTTATCCATTAAAATTCAAAATTTTACGTGTCACTTATCTAACATTGTATTTTGGAGAATTGAAGAAAATGAGTAATGGAAGGGATCTGAATCCTTGTAATTGGAGATTTGATTATCAACTATAATTTTTTATTGACGTAATTAGGACTCTGACTCGTGTACTTGAATATATATTTGTGGAATCTTATCAATTAACGCATTTGAAAGTGGGTGTTATTCCACTCCTCTCTCTCTCTTCTCAGTTCCACCACCACCACACCCCTTTCTTTCCCTTTATTGGTCCATGGATCCACCCCCCTATCGTTGCCACATCCATCCATTCACCACTCCCTCTATTGCCCTATGTATTAGATATAATTACTCACTTCTCTCTCTCTCTCTCTCTTGTTTTGCTGCAGTGGTTTCTCCTCAACTTGTGTGTTAGCTCAATTGGAAGAAATATCATGCTAGAAAGAGATTGGGGTTTGGTTAGATGGATTTTATTAGTGTTTGATGCCAGATTTTGATGGTGCTTGAGGTAGATTTCGTGATTGAGAAGACTTGTTTTCTGGTGATATGCTTGTGGCATATTGAGAACGGTGCAATCAGTATGTGGTGGCAGCAGGGTACTAGTGTTGATTTGGGTGTGTGGTTGATTCTTTTTATTTTCTATTCATTGTTGTTTCTGGATTTAAATTTATGCTTAGCTTCTCGCTTTGCTACTTAGTTCCGAAGGTCTGACTTCCACCTCCAAGACCATTGGACTCTGACGATGACAACACTATTAACCAATTCTCCAACGACAACGATGATAGTCGTAGCTCTCATCAACGCCTTGAAGAAGTCACATCCAACACTAGTTCAAGGCCTTGGTGGTGGCGATTACGAAGATTTCTCTCTCTCTCTACCTCCGGGGGGATGGAGGTTGCGGTTTTGATGGATATTTTAAAAAATTTGGGTGGTTGTAGAATTTTAATAATCTTTTGGGTTAATTATAAATTATACCCTGAAAGATTGTTGAATTTCAATTTGTACCCTCAAAGGTCAAAAATCTCAATCACCCTCAAAGATAAAAATTTGCATCAATGTGCACCGCCAAAAAAATCCAAATTCCCAATTTATACCATAAAAGATAGAAATTTATATCAATTTGTACTTAAAATTAACCGTCGTCAATTTGTTGCTTAAAACTAAATCGTTAAATTATACCTATATCTCTTCATTCTTGTCACTTAATCATTTCGACTCCTTCACAAAATAAAGGATAATATAAAATTATAATTTTTTATAAGTTAATACCATCGCAAATTGAACGACTACTCAAACCGTATATAACGAATGGGTGAATATGTCGCAAAAAATCAAACCTTAAGAGTTGACCGTGTTATTTTTTATACTTGAGGGGGTCCACCTGACTTAATACAATTTTCAATCAATAGGCCATCAAATGGCCTAAATTGAATTTTGATGTTTGATAATAGTCTTGAATATTTTTAGAACTCGTCTTATTGGATTATGATTTTTTGAATTTATATTAAATTTAACAAAATTTGTAAAATTTGTGTCAAGTTCAAATTATATTAACATGTTATATAAAAATTATTACCCTTAGAAACAGGGAGTGACAATTGCATCATGAAAGAATTTAGTTGAAAATTTTTATTTTTTAAATTGACCAAGTAAATAATAGAAAAATGAAGCGAGTAAGAAACACTTTTCAAATTTGACAACCATCCCCACCTCCACCTCCACCCCCACCCCACCCCCCCAAAATCTCCTTGTAGGACGAGGCGCAGACAACATATATAATAAGTTAAGAAACCCCTTGTGTCACAACTTTAAATAGTCAAAGGCTACATGCCTTAGCCTTATCACAGCACGTTGCCAATAAGGCAACAACTGTTTATATATGTAATTTAAACATAAGTATTTGATATAAAAAGAGGACGAAACTCTTACATTCAAAACTGTGCTCGTTCGTTGTATATTTCTCCTCATAATTTGAAAGCCAACATTTTATTCTTCAATAATTTCCGTTGAAAATGTCACAATTGAATCAAAAACTAAAATCAAAATTTCTAATCAAATAACATTTTATATTTTTCCTCTCTACAATGAATTAATTAATTTTTTCACTCATCTCTCTTTGTATAATTTATGTATATTTCTCAGTTTGTAACAGAAAAAAGGTTGAGAAATCCGAAGTATAATTCTTATATATTCTCAATCTGCAAACAAAAAAATAATGAGAAATCAAAACTTTACACTTTTGCCCAAAACCTTATTTGGGGTCAAGTTTAAAATTTTGACTAAAAAGAGTTCTAAAATGTAATTAATCCAATATAAGTATTAAGACAATATAATATTACCCGCGAAAATGCCGGAAACATAGTTGGAAGCTCCGCCGTAGCAGCATTGATTGCCAGAGTAGCGGACAGAGAGAAAAAAACAGTTAGTGACATCTTAGAGAGAGAGAGAGAGAGAGAGAGAGAGAGAAAAGTATTTTAGAGAGAAAAAATGAAATTTTAGAGGGAGAAAGAGGCGGAAAGAAGGAACAACTCCTCTTGGGTTAATCCGTCTGAGAAAGAGCGAGGCAGCTGGGTTTTGATCACCCAACAACCTTCTCACCTCTCTCTCTTTCTCTGTCTCTCTCTGTTTCTGTCTCTGTCTCTCTCTCTCTCTCACACACACACATTGTAGCCAAACCCATAAACAATATCATTTACAGGACTCGAAATTCAATCCAGAAATCCCAATATGTATGTGAACATACATACGGATACAAGATATTGGGTTTGATTCTTTGGATTTCTTTTTGCCATATGGGTAGCTGTAAACGAGTCAAAAGAAGAAGAAAGGAGTTGCTATAATTCTAAACAATAATCCATATTTGGGCTGTTCATCTTCTTCTTCTAAATCCAAAGCTATGGGCCAAGAAAAACCCAAACCACAGAGGCTTTATCGAGTTTGGAAAGGAAGCAACGTAAGTTTCTTTTTCTTGATACCTTTAATTCAATTATGTACAGTGATCCTTTGAACAAGCAATGAAATGGGTGTTTTTCATGTTAGTTTTTTTTTTTTTTGTATCATTAGTTAATATTGTTGCAATATGGGTCTTGTCATTTTCTTCAGCCTGTTGTATGTGCATTGTTGGGTATTTGTTCGAGGATCAGTATTGAAACGATTTCCTATCTGTGCTTTGGTTTGATTACTCACTGATGAGTTAGAATCTGAACTTTGTTGTTCCTGACTGAAACTCAAATACTAAAGTAGAAGTTGTGAATTGGAGCCTTACTTTATTCTCTTCTATTTTCCTGGTTATCTATAACGGCCTAATAATTCAGTCCTGATCCATCCTAGCGTTGGAAAATATGACTTAGTTAGCCCAAGATTGTTTCTTTTACAAATTTTATTCTACTTTCGTTACAGTCTTGTGGTCCTCTTAACATGTATGTCCAATTTTTTAGTCATTTGTTTAGTTTTCCCACTCTTCATGCCTTGCTTTGACTAAGCTATTGCCAGGTTTCTTCTTTGATTATGATCACTGTATTAGATGCGTAAAATTTTGCAGATTTACTTTAGTAAATCATTGATGCAATATCATAAAGTTTATTCTGATTATTTTGTGTGGCATGGTGCATTTATAACTATTTTCTCTTCTTGTTTTCAGAGATTTTTCTGTGGGGGAAGATTGATATTTGGTCCAGATGTGGCATCTTTGTTTTTGTCCACAGTTCTTATTGCCGGCCCAGCAATTGCTTTTTGTATAAAAATCTTTTGCAACATCCAACATAGAAACAACCATGGCAAAGATGCTAGTCATTGGTATCCTGTGCTAGTTATGGGATCAATTCTCACTATACTGGTAAGTTGCCTGTAATTTTATTCCATCTTTTTGCAAAGTGTGCTGACATTGCAGAATTTGCATGGCAAGAGATTTGAACGTTTTTTCATTTAGTTTTTGACATGAATTTTGATGTGTTAAATTATACATTTCATCACCTTTTGATAGGAAACTTCATCTAGTGACCCAAAATATGAGAAAGTTAAATAAATTAGATTTCCTACTCCGGTGGATGGAATTGTGGAACTTTTAGCACTTCATGGAAATGAGGTGCTTAAATTTGGTTTTGAAATCGTACTTTGTTCATCAGAACATTTTAGTGTGTTAAATTCATTGCATGCGGATGTTTGACTTTAAAATTCTACTAGATATGACAATGTTGTAGATATTTCATTATATTTTTCTTTTTTTTTCCCCTTTTAGTGTTTTTGGAGGGGGGGGGGGCAAAAAGAACCATTGATTTTTAAGTGCCATTTCTGTGATTCAAGTGCAATGGAAACTGAATATTTATGGATTTTCTGAATGATTAACTGGCAACAGTTTCCCATTTGTATTTATTTTAAAGATTGTGGGCAAGTCCTATGATTTAAATTACTTTTGGGAGCTTACCATAGCGAATGAAGACATCAAATGCTTTTTGAATTTTTATGCAGGATATAACATTTCTCTTCTTGACATCCAGTAGAGATCCAGGAATTGTTCCTAGAAGCTCAATCCCTCCTGAATCAGATGAAGCCTTTGATTTGAATACCCCTTCTATGGAGTGGGTAAATGGAAGAACTCCTCATTTAAAACTACCACGAACAAAGGACGTAATCGTAAATGGGCACTCTGTTAAAGTGAAGTACTGTGACACATGCTTGCTTTATCGTCCTCCACGTGCTTCTCATTGCTCCATCTGCAACAATTGTGTTCAGAGATTTGATCATCACTGTCCATGGGTTGGTCAATGCATTGGAATAGTAAGTTATTGAACACTAATTATGACTAGATTCCATGCATGTCTTATCGATATTAAGTCGGTCAGCGTCTTGCACTTCGACCAACCTGATTCACAAGCAGCACATGATTTTTGACATACTTCTTCCTATCTGTATAATTGGTAGGCTGTTTACCTATGGACATAAAACCTGAGGCAACCATTGTTCCACACCTGTCCAAATGATTGCATAAGCATCTGTCTCTAATACACAAAATAATAAAGTTATGTGCTTTTGAGTTAAAACCTGCACCATAAAGTGAATACTTTCTCGCATATTAAAATTAGAAGCTTTTAAGGCTCACAAATAGAAGATCAATCACGTCATACAATATTTTCAAAAAGAAATTCACATAGAGGCACATATGCTGGTGTGCTGCGGTGTTCAGATTTGGAATTCTTGGTCTGAGGGCTCCTAGTTTTGCAATGTGAAATTTGCTACCATGCTCTGCTTACAGGAACAATACTTCTATCCAGTGGTATGCAAAAAAGTGAAAAATGGACAAGCAACTAGAGTCTATCTCAAGAAAATAAATTTTACGTTGTACTGCAAATAATATATATATATATATATACCTAACCATATTAACTAACCACTCCGGCAATCCGCAGTTCAGTTGAAGCCTTCTCTGCAAGTTATTTTGGGGCTTTCTTGAGAAGGCCGTGGCTTTAACTCTTGCTTCTTGGTTGATCCCTTTGATGAGAGCTTTGAGAGTATTATTTTTGCCCTAAAAATGAATGTCCCTCTCCATAGCCATAGGTGCTAAAATGTGGCAGCCCCTGCTAGGTCACTAGTTTTAGTAGTGATAGATTTTTCCTACAAGCAATTGAGAAAACCAATCTACTTCTGCATCCCATGGTCATGAGGGCGTAGAGATTTAGCAGGGTATACAGTTGTCAGCCCATTAGGGTAAGGAGGGCCATTTGAAGACAAGGTGATGACTGGTTTGTTTTGCAGTTCCACAGAAGGGCCCAAGAGGGATATCATTGGCACTTCATTTCATGAGCTTGTCACGGGTTATCAGATTTCTTGGATGACTAACCAAAGGATGAATATATCTCGTATGAACTAAGGGAACCAAACCAGTCTAATCCTGGAAATGAAGCTGTAATGAATCCAGATTCCAGAAGCCGAAGCAGAAGTTTTACTAAACAGTGAGTGGAGAGCCGATATTTTGCTGTCAGGTTGTGAAAGGGAGGTTTATAAATTATACTGTGGGGGCCTCATAGCCTCTATTGTCTGCTTTGGCTCCCATTTGTAGAAGTGAGGCCACCACCCAGTCTCTAAGGCCGCTTATTATAAAATAGAACTTAGCTGTAGCAGGGATTGTATCATCATATCTGATCCATGCCCATCTCTCTCCATGATAGTACAAAGTGACTTCTAGTTGTTGTGCCAAAGAGAGGTTTGAGACCATAACTAATAGTGTTCTATATGTTGCTTTGGCCTTGTCCCTCACCTTTAAGAGGTTAAGTCAAGTCCAGGAACATTTGCAGGGATATTGAGTTGCCAGGGGGAACCAGAATTCGAGCAGAGTCCAAAGGTCTCTGTATAAATGCATGACTTAAGAGTTTATAACCAGTTATTTTGGGGCTTATGGTGTAATTTTGAGTGTTAGGGTCTGATGGATTAAAAGGGAAAAGGTTAAGATCTTGTAGGTTATGTTTAAGGATGTAAAGTTGAGTATATCAGTTTTCATTATGGGGTTTAGAACTTAGGCACTTGCAGAGAAATAAAAAAAGAAAAAAGAAGGAACTAGGAATCACTCTTAGGGTTCCTTAGACATCACGCCTCGGGGTTGGAATTGTATCTCCCAATCAGAAAACATATAATTGTTAAAAATTTTCTGAAAATATCCTTCTCTATTAAATTTAAACTATTGCTTCTATATATAGACCTCCAAGTATCTTCTAATCCTAAAAAAGATTAGGACTCCAAAGACTCCCAATTTCACCTAAATTAGTAAACTAACAAAGACTAGAACTAGGACTCTAAACTCTAGAACTTTAAGAACCAATAACAATAACATAGTTTGACTCAAAAGATGTTCCCCCCCGCCCCGGCGTTCATCCTAAAACCCATTCCACAAATCTAAAAATTACAACAAAAAAACCCTGACTGTAAAAAACATAAAAAAGACACATAAACCAATAATGCCAGCAAACTAACTTTAAAGTTACTCAAATATATGAGACAACTATACTCAAATGCAATTATGCAAGTTTCCATTTGAGTCTCTGTCTTCAAAGCAAGCCAGATTCCATTGTTTGTCATGTCTCTGAATTTGTATTTTATTGAATGTCTTATGGGCTGCATCAAACTGTTTATTCTAGGCCTGGACAGGGATACAATCTGTGGCTTTGAGTAAAATGTAACATGAGAGGCACACCCAGATAGGAAAATGGCCTATTGAGAAGTTCAAAATTGAAGCCATGGGCTAAATCCACTCTCAGGCTTGAGATGAAATTTTGTTCTTGGGAGCATTTGGCTTCGGTTTGAGAAAATCAGAAATTCCTGCAAAGTACTCTTGATAACAGTGAGAAAGAAATCATCAGGAAAGTAGAGCAAGCGAAACATGTGCATAACCTATTTGGCTTATATTAAGTCAGTACACTTGGTATGGTTGGTATAGGAGTTATTATGTTTTTCACCATTAATAGGGTAAAGAACTCCATTATAGATGACTACTTCCCAGGTGCTAAAGTCTCAGACGAGGAGATCTGCTAATACCCATATCTCTTCCATAGCAGGTGATGAAGGCTTTGATCCATTGAATGTGGCAGGGTGTAAATCCAAGGTGGAGAAGAATGACTTGAATCACTTGCCAATTGACATCGAGCACTTTCAGTTTCATATGAATTATAAGGGCATCTTTGGATGAGTGGTTGTTGAGATAGTAGTATCTGACCAATTCTTGCATCATTAAGATTGATCTGAGATTGACCTTCCAGGAAGAAAGACAGCTTGACTTGGGTTTGCTTTCAGTCAGTTGCTTGGATTTCAAAATCTTCCTATGTGTGGTACTGCAATAAAATATGAGTCAGAATTAAAATATTCCCTCTGTATGAAATCGCACTCTAGTCTTATTAAATAAGCACATGCTCTTGAGGAAAGAAACGTTTAAATAACCTGAATATATATAATTATATTCTCTAACATCAATCGGTTGTTTATGAAGTAGACACCAATTTGAAATAATATATTGTACACCTTTTGTGGCCATACCACTTGAGAACTCTACCTATTCATGTAAAATAAAGAAATCCTAGAAATGAGATTGCTTATTGAAGATCCCAAATTGACAGTTTTCTTCTGCTGAATGTAATTTTATCGAATGCTACAAAAAGTATATGGTATGACTTCGTGATAAACACATTCATTTGGTTACAGAGCACACATATGGATTATGTAGTTCTTTTGTTCTTGTTAGAAGTAATGGGGCTCTTCTTTTTTTATCTGATTGCAGCGTAATTATCGATTTTTCTACATGTTTATATCAACATCCACCATCTTATGCATATACGTGTGCGCATTTTCTTGGATCAACATTGTGCAACGAGAAGGCTCCATTTGGAATGCTATTTCAAAAGATATCTTGTCAGACTTTCTCATTGTGTACAGCTTCATTGCCGTTTGGTTTGTAGGTGGCCTTACAGTTTTCCATTTCTATCTGATTTGCACCAACCAGGTGAGCTCTCTCCCCAATCTGTGTAAAAACAAGTTTGAGTTTTGTATATGGCACAAAATGTAAATAGTCTTTCAACATTTGTGGATATAACTGATCTATTTATTTGTACACCTAATACCTAGTGGTTGCAATATATATTTTTGAGAAGAATATCATAATTTCCTAAAGTTTCACTGTTAGTAATCAAGCTATTTATAATGGAAGTGTCGTATCGGATTCATTCAAGGTACTCATGATAATCTTAGATGCTGGGATGAAATATCTTTTGAAAAACATTTATTTCTGTTTTCAATAGAGAAGACGTGCATTGTCACATCATTATTGTAACTTCAGAGTTTTATCTTACTGAAAATGCAAAATAAGAAAAAGAAATAGTTTGAGCATATGTACACCTATCTGTTCCTTTTTTGTATCACATGAATCACTCAATATCAGTCTTTAGAACTTTTATTAACTGTTCTCCAAATGAATTGTTTTTCAAATTTTGCTTCCTTCTTTCTTGCTCTAGAATATTCTATTTTAACTTAATTGAAATTAGATTTCAGGCCTAATTGTACTCGAATTTGAGAGTTTCCTGTAAATAGATAAAAAGATTGCAAATGGTGAATAAGAAATCCAGCCATAAAAACACAAAAGCAAACAAGAAATTAAAAGGCAATACAAATGAAGACCATTAACAGTAATCATCTACATTCCATGATCCAACCTATACTAAGGGAAAGTAATTGAACATCCTTAAAGTCTTTTGAGAGTTTTGACAAGTAACAAGGATCAACTCAAAATAATTTTCAAATTTTGTGTGTCTGCTTTGAAATAATTTGAGCAGAATAGGGTCCTATCCTATGTGATAATGTTACATTGAACCTTAAGTATGGTGTGGTAGATATTTGGACTTTATCCTGGAAATCTAAATGTCAGTTTAACGAGGTTATATCAATGAAAACTTGAGATCCATCATCCCGTTGAACTCTAATAATATCAATGGTAAGAATTATCTTTTTCCTCTCCCTGGAAAGTGAAATAATTACCATTTATGACATTGAGATGGTAATACTAAAAGTACATAGTACAGAGAGAGAGAACCAAATTGTTTCATTTTCCAATTTAGTCCAACAGTCTTCTATTAAGTCTAAGCATAGATTTTTGGACAAATCCGCTTTATTCCCTTGTGTGTTGTTGAGTTGCACATAATCTCCACTGCTCAAAAAATATGACCATGACCCCTGTATGCTTGTGGACTAAAGGGCAGCACCTAACATAGGTGATGGTACCCTTCATAGATTTGGCTCTTTTGGTCGCTTTTTTCTTTTTTGAAGAATTTCATCTTTATTTAGGTATATAATTTCACAAAAAAATAATGGAAATGCTTTTTTTTTATTGAAAGTTGACCAAAAATTCTTTTAGAATGGTATATATGTCATTTTGAGTCCTTATTTTATTTAAAATTTTGACTTTATATGTTTGACCATTGTTTCTAACAGTTGCCCTTTAATCCATAACTCGAAGGAGGTTATGTGCATATTTTTCGGCCATTAGGAGGAATTATGTGCAACAATGGCAACCATAATTTCTTGGGGGGAATTTTCACTATTTGACAAATGAAATCATTCTCTTGTGATGAGTGGGAAATTGAAATGAGTCTGTTTACTTCCGTAGTTTCTGAATGACATAATTCCCATGTCTACTACCTTTTCGATGATCATTCTGAATTTTTATCAGCATTCTGTTTGTGGATTCCATGGCTCATTCCAATGATTGCAACTTTCTGTACATCAGTTCATGTGAAGTTTTATGGCTCTATATGTGATACAAGATCAAACTCAGGTCTGCCGGATTGGAAGCATATTGAACTTTTTGTGTTGGAAGAAATTACAAGTTGCAAAAACATGTTCCAATGCAAATATATTCATAAATATTCAGGGCTACGTTACACGTAGTTGAGTGTATATTTTCCATCAAATGTCTCTTTCGATTTTCTACTGTGACATAGCTATCATTATCGAATCCTGAAGTGAAGTTTTTTCAGTATGTTTTGCGGGAGATAATGCATTGTTGGAGACACCACGTTCATCTGTCAGCATGGTTTATGTGAAGAACCAGAGAAGCCATCCTCCTTTCCTGTCAAGAACATAATCATTTGTGTTTCATCTAGTTCCGTGCTTCCCATCTTTAACTTTCTTTTACAGACATAAATAGATACATTTGTGCATGCACACGACATAAAAACTCAAATGTTTGTATTGTGATGTTTGATTATAAATATTGTTGACCCTTAATGTTGGCTTAGGTCTTACATCAACATATTTCATTCTTGCTTTTATGCAGACCACGTACGAGAACTTTCGATACCGATATGATAAGAAGGAGAATCCATACAACAAGGGGATGATAGGAAATCTGAAAGAAGTCTTCCTTTCAAAAATCCAGCCATCAATGATTGATTTCCAAGCATTTGTGCAGGAAGATGAAAATATAGTGATGGAACTGGCAACTCCAAATCTTGTGGGGAATAGCATTAGCCCAAAGGGGAAAATTGATATTGAAATGGGAATTAAGCTGGGAGAAGAGAGTGGCCTTTCACTTCCAGATATTCTGCGGAATTTGGATTATGATGAAATAGATGACAACTTGAAAAGTAAGGAGGGGAATGGAAGTGAGTCCCCCCCTTTATTCTTTTCTATTGAACAAGAATCAAAAGACACTATGCAAAACTCCACTGATCAAGGTGTGACCAATGCAGAGGAGAAGTCTGATGAAGTAACTAGCCCTCATGAAACGGCAACACCAATTGTACAAGTATAGAGGTACTTTTTCTTTTCATTAGGTATGCCAGCCATACTTTTGTTTCTTCACCTATATATATATATTCCCTTAGAGACATAAAAAAAGGGTCGCACAGAGGCTCCCGCCACTGCATCTGGGACCTATAGATAAATATATACACAAATATATGTGCCATGTTCCTGCAGAGATAAAAAACATATTTGAAATCACAAAAGTTGATTACAAATCAAACAACTGTCTGTTGAAATAGAAGACTGCAATTAGGAGACATTTTGAATGTCATTGTCGTATATTTCTATTGTATCATCCATAATTTTGTCTTTGCAACATATATGAGGTAGTCTGTTGTGTAGTCCAGGATGGGGATTCAGTTTAAATGTGTTTCCCAACTTTTCAAACTCAATATAATTTCCACCTTAAGTAGTGAACAATTTTGTGCATCATTCATTGCTGGTGATCATTCATTCTTTCTTTTGCTTTCCACCCTTCCTTTTTGTTGGGGGATGGTGGTGGTTTCATTGCTGGGAATCATTTGTTTACACTTTTTTGACAGGTTCTTTCTTCTTTAGAATTACTCTTGTGCTATGAATAATTTGATCAGGACGCCATAGGATCTCTTTTTTTAATGATAGTGGTGTTTCCTGGCTTAAGAAGACTGTGCAAGCTATCTGAATGTCGTGATTTCGTTCGCAACTTGCTGTTTTCACTGAAACTGAGACTTCTAAATTTCAGAGTCAAGCTTGTTGTAATTAGTGTCATCACATTGTGTTCGGAATAATGCAGGAACCTGCAGTGCAAAGGAGACATCCTGTAAAGGTGAAATTTGTCAATAGGTTGCTCTATATTACTTCCTTTTTCTTTTTTCCTTTATTTATTCCCTTCCCCTCCTCCTCTTCGTTTTTTTCCTCCTCAAACATATTTTGGATAGTTTATTTGGGATTGATTCATTGTTTGAAAACAAATTGAGGGTCAAAGGTGTGCAAATATTCTTGTTTGTCAATTTATATATGTTCAAGTGGCCAGTTCTCCATTGGATGCACATAAGAATTTTGTAAATTGTGGCATTTACAGGGGTTCATCATGATATAATCAAAGGATTTCCCAAGTCACTAACAATCTGCTTACAAAAAGCAGCAGTGACCAGCTGCAGCCTAGATTGAAACCTAATACATTCAATGGGCAGTGAGACTAACAAGGACCAAAATTTGGTTTCTGTGCATAGTTTTTGTTGACTATTTTTTGAAAATGTTTCGGAAACAAATTGAAAACAGATAAAAATCAAAATTTTGATTCCGAATATTTCAAAACATTGACCCAAATATTTGCTAAAATATCTCGAAACATTTCGAAACATGAATATTTCGATATTGTATTAATGATTCGTTTTGGTCTCTACTGATATAAAAATGTTTCAACTGTTTTAGTAGGAATGAAATGAAATTTTGACTAGTCCATCAATGAAATTCTACCACCACCCATTGCCTAGTGATGTTAGGTAACTGGTATCCATGATTGTGGACTACCATTACACCTTTACTCCAAAACCTAAACTAGGCACCAGCAGCAGTTATTTTCTTCATTTGTCCCGTGCAGCTTGCCCGAGTCCCTGCGTTAATATCTGGATAAAAAAGAGAGCATTTTGTGTGCTAGGGCAGGCCATATTGAATCCCATTCTAAGAAAAGATGTATAAGGAGATTTGACCTCAAAAAACAAAAACAATTAAGGAATAGGTGGGGAAACAATGTAGAGACTTGTTCCTTTGATATTTTTCCATTTGGACAACCTTTATTTAATGTGAATTTTATAAAATTGTTTGTTGAACAACAACCATGTCTTGCTTATGTCCAATTTTACCACTCAGACAATTTAACTTCTACATTCCTTTGGTTGTGTAGTTAAGAACTTTTTTGTAGTGAGCCAACATAAGTTCATCTAGATGGGTTTAGTTTGAAATGAAAAACCAAGTGCTTGCAGAATCTCTCCCGTATCAGTTTGAATTGACGTTATCTTCGTAGTTGGTTGTAATCCTCTTCTTTAAATAGCAATACAACATGTACAAGAGTTGAACAAGTTTCCCACCACAATACAACTACTCTATTGAATATTCTGTTATGGTATTAGAGCACTAGTCATGCGATAAAAAATTTTCAGTTCTTCACAGCTTCTAAATCGTCTAGCTCTCCTCTCTCTTCCAATATCTCACACCCTTCATTAAGCTTGATCAGACCAACAGTGTGCTATGGCTTGTTCAATTCATTCTTCTCAAAAGCATGGATCTTTTTGGCTATGTTGACATAACAGAGCCTTGTCTTACTATGGTTTAGAAGGAACCGATGACAAACTAAGAATCACTGTTAATCTCCGAGTATGTTTGCTAGAAACAACAAGATCAATCTTTGCTTAGTTTTGTTAACGCTACTCTTACGCCAATGTGTTGTTCACCGTGACTCGCCTCTCCACCTCTCATGATGTTTGAAAGTCACTTCAGAAACAATATATTTTTCAGTCCCGCACCAAAATAATAAAATTGAAGAATCAACTCTAAGCTACCAAACGAGAGAATTTATCACTATCAGATTATATTGATAAGATGAATGGTATCGCAAATAATTTGGCTATTGTTGGTAAGCCTATTGAAGAGGATGACTTGGTCACTCTAATCCTCAATGGTTTCTAATGATACTTAGAGTAATTTCCAAGTATGAGCTCGAGAGCGGAGGTCAGATGCACAGAGCTCATAAAACCAGAGTAAAACGCAACCCAATCGAAGCAGTAGCAGAAGTAATAAAGGGATAACTATTTGTCAACAGAAACCCTAGAGGCAGCAAAGAGTCATAATTGAAGCATAAAACTCTCATCCAGGAAAGATGTCCTCTTAAGATCAAGGAGGATTCCTCGGATAAATGGCGAAGATCTCGGGGCGGATCCCGCAGAATTAGGAAAAGCCCTATAAATACTATGTAACGCCCTCAACAGAGGGGTAGAACCCTACTATCACATCTTACATTCTGTAAATCTTTTGGTATAGTAAATAATGAAGGAAAGAGGAAGAATCTCCATTAAAGAGTGGATTAGCCGAGCTCCCGAGCTGGTGAACCACTATATTTCTACTGTGTTAATTCTCCAACTCCCCAATAATTCTCAGTATCATTCCCTCGAGTCTAGTAGCTCAGATCCCAATAATTCTAATATTGTTTCTTTCATTTACTCGTCATCACAAAGTTGCATCACGTTGAAATACACTATCAGTTTGGCGCCGTTTGTGGGAAACGATTGTTCCTGTTATAAATAAATTGATCTTTCAGTGACTGATGGTATCAACGCGAAACATGAGCCGAAGTCAGACAAATTCACCACGGATGCAAGATCAACAAGAAGCTAATAATAGCAGACAACCTGAGAACGTCCAAGAGACCAATCCACATGTGGGGGGTCTCCCCATGAATAACGAGATGGAGGCCCTTCGCCTCATCAATCAACGCTTACTGAAACAAAACGAAGAACTATTAAAGCTCTTACAACGCCCATAAGAGATGCGACAGGCTTAAGAAGGCCAGAACAACCCATCACCTAGGGAGCAACCATACCTCGACCCCCTCAGGGAAGTCAACGAAGAAGGAAAAAATAGCCAAACCATGGGGCCAAAACTTCGCATACCCCCCAGGAATGGACACAACAAAAAAGTACAAAGTCAGAATGACGGGGACGAGAAGAACGATTTTTTCCCCTATCAACAGGAAAGGAGAGAACAGTACTGGGAGCAGCGCTTCCAGGGTATCCAGCAAGAACTCAACCACATGAAGGAAGCCGTGAGAGGCAAGACTCCAGTTACGATGGATGCCTTGGTACAACAGACTGAATCTCCGTTCATCACTGGTGTGCGGCATTTTACCCTCCCTCTGAAATTCAGAGTACCCCAGATAGAGGCTTTTGATGGAACAAAGGATCCCGTAGATCACCTCAACACTTATAAGATACCAGAATCTAGTGCGTTGCAGAGCCTTTGCCATCATGCTGAAAGGCTCAGCCCTGGCGTGGTTCAATAGGCTCCCCCCTACCTTAATTTCCTCCTTTAAGGAGCTATCCATATCTTTTGTATCTCACTTCATAGGAGCTCGAACGTCCAGAAAGCCGAGTTACCACCTGTTGAATGTGAAGTAAGGACCCCAAGAAAATCTCAGATCCTATGTTCATAGGTTCAACTCTGAATCACTAAAAGTGGATGTCCCAGACGAGAAATTTGCCATTACTGCATTTATAGCTGGTTTAGGTGTACAATCTAAAAACCTGATGTTCTCTATTTTGAAAAATCCCCAGGCCAGCATGGCCGAAGTACTGGCCAAGGCAGAAAAGTACATAAATGGTGAAGAAGCTCTCCTCTCAAAAGTGGGGAGCTCATCCTTGCAAAAAGACAAAGGGAAATAAGAGAAAAAGAGAGACCAAAGTCTCAGAAGAGAAAGAGGACGAGATAGGTCCCCAAGGAGAGACAGAGATCGATCCCCAAAAAGAAGGGGAGACGTCAGAGATCGCTTGGGTCCCTCCATTCACCGCAACAATATTGTAAATCTTGTATGAGGTACAAAACAAAAAATTCCTGAGGTGGCCACCCTGGATAAAAGCAGACCCGGTGAAAATTTTACCCCACTCCTGGAATGCATAACATCTTAGAAATTTTTTTCAGTAAGTTTGTCCTGTAATATGATTATTAATAAATCAGCAAGTCTGTGGTTCATTCACTCTTACGAAGAGCCCGGGAGCTCACGACGAACTCATTAGTCCGTAATAAGAGCCTTAAAGCTCACGATGAATTCGTTAGTTCATAAAAAGAGCCTGGGAGCTCACGACGAACTCATTAGTCCGTAATAAGAGCTTTAGAGCTCACCATGAACTCGTTAGTTCATAAAAAGAGTTCTAGAGCTCACGACGAACTCATTAGTCCGTAATAAGAGCGTTAGAGCTCACGATAAACTCGTTAGTTCATAAAAAGAGCCCTGGAGCTCACGACGAACTCATTAGTCCGTAATAAGAGCCTTAGAGCTCACGATGAACTCGTTAGTTCATAAAAAGAGCTCGGGATCTCACGACGAACTTACTAGTCCGTAATAAGAGCCTTAGAGCTTACGATGAACTCGTTAGTTCATAAAAAGAGCCCTAGAGCTCACGAAAAACTCCTTAGTCCGTAATAAGAGCCTTAGAGTTCACGATGAACTCGTTAGTTTATAAAAAGAGCCTTGGAGCTCACGATGAACTCGTTAGTTCATAAAAAGAGCCATGGAGCTCACGACGAACTCATTAGTTCGTAATAAGAGTCCTGGAGCTCATGACGAACTCATTAATCCGTAATAAAAGCCTTTGTAACGCCCCAAAAACCCCCGTGGGTGACATTACATTCTAAAAACCATTTACCGTATGAGAGCATTAAGTAAAATTCATCACGACGAAAGTTTCATTCATCAACCATTCATATTTTAACAAAATTTGGGCAGAGTCTCCTTTGTACGGGGAGCTCTACCCAAAACACAACCTGTACAATTATATTACAATTGACCACACCGGGTCCACATATGCATAACTATTGACCACACCGGGTCCATTTTTTCATCATAAAATAAACTTGCATTCATCATATGTCATATCCACACTATCATCCCAAATTAATAGGTCTAATCTTGGCATTTACATCTCCAAAATGTAATAATATAACGCAGCGGAAATAACAGAAATGAACTAGAGTTCAAAAGGATATTCTAAGCATAATCTAGTCTAGAACAAAATAAAAGTGTCGCTCTAAGCGTCCACCTCGGGATCCACATCCCCGTCAAGCAGAGTCTTCCAATGGGTGGGCTCCTCGGCTCCTAACTCCTCCTCAAGTGTGAAATCTGAAAAATTTTTATTTGTAGGAGGTGAGCACGAAGCTCTGTAGCAAAATCCTCTCAACTCAAACAAGGTTTGAAAAACATAGCAAACGGTCGGT